CAACGATGTAAAAATGGGAAAAAAAATCAAATTCAATAACTTGACTACATTAAAGTTATGAAACGGTTTGTATTTTATACACAGACTATGTACATTGGTTTTGGAAATGTGGGTTTTATCCATGCAAATTCAATACAAAAGCTATTTACAAAAAATAACAGTAAGAACGTTTTTCAAAAGAAACATATACATGTTTGGAAGCTCCAGCAATAATGGAAGTCCTGAAAAAAGACTTAAGATACAGTATTGTACAGGTAGACAATCCTCAGAAATGTGGAAAATGCACTTTACAAGAACATGAAATGCCAAATTAAAATGCACTATCAAGTAGATGTAAATATATACACAATTTTATCATCCTACTAAATGATCACCCTGTGCCGCAGAACTACTTCTGTCAGGTCTTGCACACATTTACACACTGATCATTTGGTTACATTTTCCGAGTTTTCATAACCACAAGTTACAAATTAAAATAACCGAATACCGACCGAGTGAGAGTTGTAAAGTAACCACGTTTTCCTTGTTCTACACATTACACAACAGTAAAAAAGTATTCACATTGTTCCCCACGTAATACACCTCACCTTTCTGCAATGCCTTCCAGGGGCGTTGCAAAGATTTGCATTGAGTGTTGGTGGAAATGACATTAACAGTTGCAAGCCAGGAATTCCCACAGTTGCAGCAACGTTTCCTGTAACACACGGATTCAGTAAACAGAACTTTATTAACATTTGCATATGCGGAGCCCAATCTTGCACATGCTCCAGAAAGACTCTTAACACGGAATAATAGGAGTTTCTGTGCCAGCAACGGCACAACCAAATCCTAAACAAAGTCAGGAAAGATTGTGCTGGTTCGCTCCAATTTAAAAACAAAGCACAATTAAAAAGTGTTTTGGGATTTAATTCCAAATATTAGCTATTTCACAATCTGCCTGGAGAAAATTAGCACAGCTTTGCTGGGGAGGAGTGGTGGGGAGAAAATGTCAAGTTTGTCTCGTTCACGCAATTTGAAAGAACTGCAGAAATCCTTCTTAGTGCCAAGAATTCGTTAGAAGAGACTTATTTTAGGCTGCAGCTCAGTTACAAAACTATTGAGGGAAATTCTGGTTTCACTGAAGTCAATGGAAAGTTTCTTAAAAGGATTTAAATTGCTGTTGGTTCATGCTATTCTCCAGTAAGGTTTGCTAAGATACTAAAGGAGTTGTGAAAGCTTTTTGTTGTTTTTTTTCCCTGTGTTTTTTTTTTTAAAGAAGCATATATAGAAAACACATTAAAATATACTTTTTAAAATGTATTTGTTTATAAAATATCTTAACTGAAAATGACTGATGTCACTGTTTTTACAATAGCTTTTTTTTCCTTCCATAGCAATTTGCTAGGCAGACTTAGAGCAATTCTTTGCCTATGATGTTTTCAAAAAAGTCTAAAGTTCTAAACATCTGTTGAATAAATATAACATGTAAGCACAGTTTTAAATTATACATTGTCAGAATTGTGCTATGAGAAATATTTGAGATAAAGAAGTTTGCATTTTCTTATGTCAAACTACTCCAGTACAGTGGCAAGTTTAAACTACAATTAAGTTGGTCAGAAATCCCACCTCTTTCATCAGTCAAAATCAACAGAAATTGTTTTCTTTACAGGAGCAGATTATTTTTATTACCTTCATGTTTCCAAATCTTTGTTTCCAGAGATCTGCACTATAAAATTCTTGATGAAAAATGGTAACTTGTATTCTCTCATATTTTTTTCTTTCCATGTGGAAAATAGTATTTCTGTTTTTATGCAATACTTTTATAGTTGCTGTTGATTTACCAGAGATCGCTAATCTCAGTCATTTCTTTTGGAATTCTGTTAGTTTATGGCAGACCCTGCAGGACATTACTGCCAAAAATTCAGAAATTAAAGCTTTGCCCATGTCAGACAAGTTTAGCTGAGCCATGTCTGCCATGGTGTGCAGCTTCTCTTTCCTATAAACTATAAAAGTGAAATATTTACTGAAGTCAGCACGATCTGCATTGACTTCAGTGGAGCTAGGATTTACTCAGAAATCATGATGATTCATGCCATAGTTATTTACTGTTCCAAATGTATCTCTCTGCATTTTATAATACTTCCACTTCTCAGTTTTATTTTGGAGGAGCCTCAGCCATGGGGGTATAATGGGGTTTCCGGATCCTCTGCAATACCCCAACTAGCACATGGAATTAGCTCTATTTTATGGTAACTATGAAGCATCTCTGAGATGCTGCATATAAACTTACCAAACTTGAAAACAAACATTTTAATGCCACTACTTTAAGATCTCACAACATTTGGGACATTATTGCTTTAAAAAAAGATCATTCCCTTGTGAAATATTGCAGCCATTCAAACATCCAACGAAACAGAAGAAAAATAAAAACAAACAAGGCCATAAGCCCTCTGTCAGTATGCTGCTTCACTTTGTAATTTACAGTTTCATATCACATTATTGCAGTAACTTTGCATAACATTTACAATTAAAAAAAGAAAGCATTTGTGTAACTCATATTTATTAGGAAAACTTAATGAATTTTCCTAAAGCATTTAAAGTTCTTTCCTTTAACAGTATAAACTTCATATGGCCACAATAGTAACCAGGCAGGTCTCTAATAAATGTTTTTAAAAACCCCCATCCGCTGTGCCAAATATTAATCATTTTACATCCTAAACAAAATAGAAAAAAAGGTTATCTTGAATATACGAAGTGCTGGGAGCAGGGATTCTGGGATCACCGATGCCAAAAGCAACCAAAGGGAAAGGAAGAAAGGGGATGGTAAGTGAAGCCCCATGCAGGGAAGACAGCAACTATTTCCACTGGCAATTTTAAGGGGGAATATCAGCTTTTTTTGTATCTCTTGCAGTTGTTCCCCCATGCTCCCTCATGAAGGGGCTGGCTAATCGTGACTTGGCTTTGGAGTGTTTGTGAAAGCAGCTAAAGATGAGGACAGATCCATGTGCTCATGCTGGACCGTCCCTCAAACTGCTCCTGTGGATACTGGGAGGCCTGAACCTTTGCTGAGCTAAAAGGAAATTGTGTGGGAATAACAAATATCCTCCCCCCGAAGCCTGCTGAAAAGCATGAAGAGGGCTGGAATAATTCCAGAAAAAGGCAAAGCAAGACTGCTTCTAGCAAGTTGGTGTGGAAGAACACCAGAATGCGTAAAAATGTAACTGCTGGTTTAGTGGTTTTATACAAATCAAAATGAATACCTCAATTAATTTCAACTAATAACCATTTTTCAAGTTATTTTGGAAATAATGGCTAAACTTTAAATAACTGGTAATCAGCTGGCATACTGCAAGAGAATTCTTAATTCTTACATGTGATTATAGCTATTATCTCCCTGAAACACAGTACTGTTTCAAGAAATAAAAAATAATCAATGCAAAAACCTCTCTATAATCAGTGAGTTATGAAGAATGAATTTAGCTCTAACTGGGAAAAAAAAAGAAGTATTACTTTAGGATCAGAACAAATTTAAGATATGAAAATGAAATAGTAGTGTCAATCTGTTCGAGCCACATGATCTAGGTGACAATTTAATTTCTTTCCAGTTAGCAAATCTGTGGCTATTGGACTAAAATAGAGCATTTTTTAATCATCAAGGATCACCCCAAGGAAAATGAAAGACAAAAAACGATTCTTAAATTGTTAAGCTCTGCAAGTGCAGAAGAGGCAAGTCTTGCCTACTGAATTATATTAAGCTTAATCATTTAGCCTTAGCAAGACTTTTCTGAAATTGCCCTTAGTGAAAAACACTCGTTTTAAAAGCTTAAGGACCCATTTTATCTCAATGATTTGAAAAACAATTAAAGATAAATAAACCAGCATGTTTTCTTAAGTAAATATTTATGCAAGCAGCCATTGGTAATGACGACTTCACAAATTAAGTTTTAACTAACTGTTCAATAAGCCGTACTTTGCGACTACACTATATAAACAATAGTGTATTTAACTATTACACATGAACCAGTCTGCTTCACTTTGTTTTAAAATATTGGGACTTCAAAACAAAAAAAATTGTAACTGGAAGTTTTTTTATTATAACCAAAATAAGGAATAAATGACATCTCTCCTTCATTCTTTTATGCATGGCATTCTTTTATCACATGGTTTCTAGGTGAACTGGCAAGAGCGGAATTAAATTCTGTTACACATCGGCAAACAAATCCCTTGACCTAATTAACAGGTTATGCCAGAAAATCAGTGTCAGAGTCAGAACCTAACGTGGTTTTTTACCCCCTACCTTTTGAGCTATTTGTAAAGAACAAAGTAATGCAAACAGACTTATTACAAAAATTACCATATGATTTGCAGCTTTTTTGGAGAGGAACTGAATCATGTATGGTTTCAGAGAGTTCTCAAAACACTGAGAACCTGTGCAGAAACAAATATATTAATTTAATTAACCACCAGCACTGTGGGAATACTTTTTCTTTCTACATTTGTCCAGAAACATCTAATGTCTCAGCACAGTGATGTTTTTACAAACTGATTTGTGTGCTATGCCATGCATTTGTGTAAATTCTACAATAAACCCTGTAAAGAGTAAAAATAAACATCCCAACACTGATATTTTTCAACTGAATTATGAATATACCTGTAGTAAAAATGTAACGTGGAATCAGGAACAATATTACATAAAATCCTGAAAGTCACAGCATAAACCTGAGATTTTGGCAGTTTTATCAAAAATGTCCTAAATTACTTTGTATGCATCACTAGTCCTCATGTCCTACTCACCATGTACATTACTGTTTGTCCCAAACAAAGGAAAGTAGACAACCTTTTTTGTCCAATAATACATTAAAACAAAAGAGATTAAGTATCAAATTAAATATCATAAATAAAAGGTATTTACAGTATTTTCTAATCATTAGACAATAAAATAATCAATTAAATTGTGCAACAAACTTAAAATATCCAACATCAAAAAAGTGAAGTATTATTCAAATCTTCACATACTGACTTTACAAAAAACTATTAAAATATTTAAAAATTCCCATTGTATCTATTTTAAACAAAGAAATTGCAAAAATGTTTAAGACTGTTAAGAGTTATCAATTACACAGGCACTTCACATGTAAACAATCTACAGTACAACCGAAAAAAATATTTGGCACCAACCTAGAAGACTGGAAAAACTCAAAATGTGTTCTTTTTCCCCATTCTATGCTGTTTGTATAATTACCAAAAACTCAGACTAAATACTGGCAATGTTAGAAGTGTGTAAAGTTACAATCAGGAGTGCAAGAAATAAAGAACTTAAACTTTAAGCTTTCTGAAAGCGTAGAAGTGGATTACATGGGATCAGTCACTCAGATTTTTACCATCATATCAATGCTACATTTTTGTTTTACTTTTAAGTCAAATGACTAATCTTTCAAGCAAGGGATTAGGGTCTTGTACTTCTAAAGAAATCCAAACAACATTTTCAACGCAGGAAAAGAAATCCATCTTTTTGCTGTAACGTCATGGAGATGTTACAGCAGCTTTTATGGCAGCTTTTGATTTATGTCAACTGGAAAGAGAACTTCAATCTCTTTGTGCATCCAATTACAAAAAGACATTATGTTCTGTTAACTGTCAGCTGACTCCAAGGTTTTAAGCACAACTCCAGAGTAAGGCTCTCTACAGCATCTGGACACATATTAGTTTTTGATGGCTTGGATGTTCCAGTTTGGGAAGCTAAATTGTCCCAGAGCAATCCATATCAACAGACCGAAGGGTAAGTTGTTTAGCTTCCAAGAAGTCATGTTACATGGAGGAAAGCTGGGATAGTTTCAGCGTAGGTAATTCAAGCAGAGCTTGAACTGTGAGGCCAACTTTCACCAGACCCCTTTCCTCCAGTATGTGATGAGGCAAGCAGAGTCTTTCCTGTGAAATAAAGTAGATATTTTAGGGTTGATTCATTTCTTTTCCAAGCTGGGTAACAAAAGCATTTTCTCTGATGTCATATATACCTCAGTACTAGATATTTGCATAGAAATGGTTTAGATTTTAGATGTGGCTCTCTATAGTAACAGAACGCTCAGAAATGAATTCAGCTATAATCTTAGTTGGAGGATGAAAACTTCAAAACATGAATGCATAACTGGCAAAAAAACATTTCAAATGATAAACTAAACCCAGTCATCTTTCAGTTTTCAACGTTGGGTTGCTAAACTAAGACTTTCAAATATTATAACAATTAGCTTGCATCAGTGTTTCCGTGGTTTTACCATGAGGTCAGTATCTTTTTTACTGCATGGAACTAATTAGAAACTCATAGAGATGAATGCCATGTACACACCACCAGAAGTCTTGACTTCTTTTCATATTTATAAGTTCCCTGATCAGCACTGTGAACACTAGACTGCTTGAATTTACCCAGAAAAAAGCCCTCCAGTACTGCTGACATATGCTCTGTCATTATTGTGAATAAGTAGTCAATAAATCAATCAGTATACCTGTGGAACACCCAACTTTTTACAAGCATCAAGGAAGTTTTCGACATTTCTTCGGCACTTTGCCATACTGAGTTTAGGCTGTAAAGACAGGAGGTTAGATCTTTGTCACACATTTGTAAAGGACTGCATACATCTGATGCAAATTCTGCAACGGTTGCTAATAAATAACTAGAAAACAAAACCAGTTCTGTGAATACTCAGTTTGTGGCAATTGTTTTTAAGCCAAACTTCTGAACCTTGTTTCGTGCTTCTTGAAGGAAAGGTGAAGGTAGCCAATTAATATGGTAAACATGATTCATAGTACGGAGTTTTAACAGCCTGTTCTCACGTAAGATGCAATTAAAAGTGAGATAAATGACTTACCACTGCTGGCGATGGTACGTGAATGCTGGCAACAGAACGTGGCCTTATGTGATTGGCTAAATGGCAAAGAACGACTCCATCCATCAATGCTGCTCCAATATCATCCGGCAAAATTACTTTTAACCGTGATTCAAGATTCTGTTAAATATGGAAAATTCTATAGCTAAGTCACTTTCAACTTTGGAATAATTTTAATTCTAAATTCAGAAAGTATTGTTTAAAAAGGTCATGCTAATCCAGAAACAAAACAAATGCATTCACGCTCTACTGAGTTCAAATATCCCTCTCTTTATATTATTAGTCTCGTGTTTTTTTCTGCTCGGTTTTTTAATGGCACAATTAGACACACTAAGAAAGACAGTCTGACAGTTACTACCATAGCTCACAACTCCCAAAACCATGTGATGAAATAACTACGCACACTAGGAAAGCACAGAATTTAAGGGCAGAAACGTCCAACTATGGTTGGACTTGATGATCTTGAAGGTCTTTTCCAACCATAATGATTCTATGAGTCTAAATTATGTACAGATTTACTAGAAGAAATAACAGGGGAATACGATCACTTCAGGCATGGCTGTTTCATGTGCAAAGTGATAGATAAACAGGGCAGGAAATGGTGGCCAGGAAGGTCCCACACTTGTGTTGCAAGACAGAGAGGGGAGGCAGGGAATATATTTTTTTTATCCCATTCCAACTACAAGTCTTCACGGATCAGGATGTTGGCCAGACAGAACAGAGTCTTTGCAGAAGTCACAACCCAAACAAGAATCACCATGGAAAACAAAGCTACTACCACAGTATTTACTATTTGCAATGAATTTAGTTAACTACAACTATTAAATAGCTTGAAAACAGAGCTGTACGGAAAACAACTTATCGGAAGCTTGAAATTTAATAGTATGATAATATGATGTGATAATAGGTAAGTCATAGCAAGTTTCCAGACACAAACATTCTGGCATTCAGCTAAAACATTTTGTGGTTCCCCTTGTACCAAAATTACTACTAGTGTCCTCTGGGGTATAAAGGCAACCCAGTGATACCTTTTGTTCACCTACCTTGTCGTTGGGATCAACAAGAGCCCCATCCAACCGTGGAGCTTAAATCTACTGTAACTGCCTGTTGTTAGATCACTGGAAAGCTCTGTTGCACAAAATTTCTTGGAAAGAAGCATCACTGCAAAGGTGCCCTAGTACAACTGGAATGATTCCGAGGCCTTTACTATAAAGAGTAAGGGTAGTACAGAGCAATCTAAATACACTGTACCCAATAGCTTGAACCAACACACTAAATAAGAGTACATACATTGCGAAGTTGTCTGATTTGTTCCCTTTCTTCCCTTAAATGCTCCATTTTCCTCCTCATTGTAAATCCGGGATCCATCGCTCCATAGTCCTGGCGAGATGTACGGCTAAAAGCTGTTGAACGTCAGAGAACTTAGTTTTCAAAATTCAGATTAAAAAGAGTGCAATGACAAGAAATCCACTAAAAAGGACAAACTGGGCAGAAAAACAAAGTTGCAGAACTTTTCAGAACTCATATTTCTTAAAATCCTAAGGAAAAAGCTGCTCTCTGAAACAAAGCTTTCAAAATACGTGGATCATCTTACTTAACTGCAAACTTGTAATTAGAAAATATGGAGGTAGAATACACAATATACAGATTTGTGTGATCTATATAATTCCTTTTGTACATTAATAAGCTTATCCTAAAGCCTAGCTTTGTCTGTTAAATACTCTTTACTATATATACATTACCAATTTTCACTGCCAGAAAGCTTTTAATATGATCAATTTATTCTTTTATAGACTGCTGGCAAACAAGAAATAATATTTAGCCACTCCATTCTATCCTTAAGTATTCCAGCCTGTAGTTTTGAGCAAAAGATTCACTATTTAATTCTTCAAACTTTCTTACTTCTAATACTTTGGAATTTTAGCAAGAAAACTTAATATTCAAGATTTGGGGATTTCTTCTGTAACACAACATCTTTTGTGAGAATGTGACCTCTTTTCAAAACTATGCCAGGTCAAGAGCAAGGCTTAAACGCCATACCAAGACTTTTGCTCATGGCCAAGACAAAAAATGCCACTTGTCACCCACGAACAGAGGGGAAAGGAGAGCTTTTTAGAAAAGGTTTGCAGATGCGAACTGGCAAGAGCTTGTAGGAAGCCTGCTGCTGTACCAGTGAATTGACCTAAACTAAACTAAAGAGTGCAGAAAAGTGGGAGGACAACCTTGCTTGCTGCTATCAAATCTGCACCTTCCTGCAGCCAAGGCTGCAGATAACTCAAAAGCCTCTAAATGAGCCTGGCAGTGCTTCCCTCCTACATGCAAATAACACAACTCTCTCTAGCACAGAAGTCTCACTTGACTGCCCAGAAAAACACAAGCAGTTAAGGCCCCTGATGGAGCCACCTGCACCATCTTAGCCAGACATTCTGTACTGAGGGATAATGAGCGAGCATCACAGAGGTCAAGCTTTAGTTTCATTCAGTCTGTGCGTTAACAAACTGCAGAGTTAAGATCATTTTTCTTAATGATTTTGCTGAAAGACTTTTCCAGTTAATACTGCTCTTCTCTTGAAGCAACAGAGATTGCACTGTGACCTTGCCAAACTACATTTTCCAATCCAATATTCATGCTGACAGTTCCACATAAAAGAATACGACACCAGATAAAAAAAAAATAGTAGTGTATTATTCCTTCCCAGATTTCAGTGGAATGAAAATCTGCTTTAGACAATCCCATCTGACACAATTATTTGACGGGGGACTGGCAGACTGGAAGATTTGGGCACAAGAAGGCACAAAGCCATTAAATTGGCACACTGCTGCTCCATAAATCCCTTCATAGGACAAATTACAAAAACCTACTTCTCTTGAAACCCTCCTGCCTCAGCCATCAGGTCTGAGCAACAATTGCACACTGTCCCCTGTTCTTTGCGGGTGACTAATTACGCAGAAAATAAATTAATGAAATAACAAATCACTGTGCAACTTGGGTAACTTTCAATTATTAGTTTGCCAGAGCAGCTGTCTATGCCTTTCCCAGCACTATGCTTGTGATAAGCACACTGAGTGCACTGCTGTCCTGCAGCCTCTCTTTGTACTCGTTCCAGTTCCTGCATCTGCTGCCCTTATTGTCCGTTCCAGCCTGGGGAATAAACATCTGTTCTGTCCTGCTATGTCAGAGAACAGCAACTTACCTGACCTTGGTTTGAGACCAAACGGACCATGAGTGTTACTGTCTGTTCTTTCATAATCCTGTTGAAAGAGATAAAGTCAATTTTCTTCCACTCAAAGAATTAAGCTTTGTTCCCATCAAGATAAAGTTTAAATTATTTCTGCCTACAGTAAGTCCTTTTACTAAGCAAAACTTAGCATCAACTTTTTGAAGAAATGCTTACTCTGAATTGCGAATATCATTTTTTTTTCATATCATAATCTGAGAAATGCACTCAGTCTGATATGTACACGAGACTTCCTCTTTCTGCTCATTTAACTGTATTTGAGAGATGCTCTCCTCATTCTGCTCTGTCAGGTTCCCTTTTGACATGAGATGAAAATGAATATCTTCTTTGGAATATTTTATTCAGTTTTGCAACCACAATGAGATTTGCATGGATTTTCCTTAGAAAGGAAAAAAAACCTCAATGAATCAAGCTGTGAAGCTGCACCACAGAGGTCTAGACAGAATTGTGAAGGATGAAATGCTTAAAAAGTCTCAGCATCTCTGGGTTCCCTATGATAGGCAGAATACTAGAGCACAGGGTACTTAAAATCTTCTGAACTGCTAGTTCATTGTGGACTCCTAGAGGCAAGGTAAAACACGTTGAAAAAATTAACATTGGGTTAATATCTGTCTCTGATTCCAACTTATACGACATTTTAATAAATGTGAAATATTTATAACTTCAGTCTCAAAGGAAACTAACAGCTTAATATCTGTATGTACGGGAAATCTGATGACAACAGTAATGTGCATAAAGAAATGTTTGTTGAATGAAAAACAAAACCACAAACTTGTACCTCAGACGACACAGGAGACTGTGGGGACACATTAGTATTATCACTGTCTTGCTAAAAAGAAATCAAAGAGATGAAATTATAAAATGAAAATTATGATTTAACAAGAAAAGCATGTAATTATGAAGTACATACACAACACATGAAACATGTAACATCTGTCAAGTATGGCACGTTGGTAGCAACTGAATTTAAAACACGTAGAGTCAAGTGCTGTTCACTTTACATGGGATATTACTTTTACATTACCTCTGCCTGATAGCTGAACTGACTTTCCTATTACTAAAGTATGTAAATTTTTTCAATACATCACTTTTTACTTCAGTACAGCATCTTACTGAATTTTTTTCAAATAGAGGAGTGTAATACTGATTTTGCTATTTTATATAGTTTTAATTTTATTTATATGTTTATAGTTTTGGAATACAAAGTTTGCTTGCATAGACTCTAGCCAACTGTTCCATAACTGTCTCCTAAGTATTCATAAAATACAAAATAAATAAAAATCTTTATGTATTTTAAGTGGTTATCATTTCTCACCTCGTCATTTTCATTTCCACTTGAACTCTTTCTGGAAGACTTATACTGCAAAACATACACAAATACTATTTTAAAATTCAAGCACAGTTTTCATTTGAACCAAATGGCTTTGCATCAGGCAGATGTTATTTATTACTGGCAAAGTGGGAGAAAAAAAAGAAAAAACATTAAATTGTCAAAGGAGGAAAAAAAGAGAACATGTAGTTCCTAGGCTAGTCAGGAACTTCATTACACTGATTAAAGGGTACATGTCTTTCAAAGATACATATTGTTACACTGTTAACTCTGATTGTATACATATTTGATCCAAGTGAAAAGATCAGAGCAACTGTTACTCTCAATTATTCATGTACGGTATAACCCCCAAAAGTTACAAGAAAGAAACATACTTTAAAAACATTTAAGATCACTTAGCATTGCAAATGAAAAAGGGATTGCAGGAAGAAATTTACAGAAATGGTACCTATAAAAGCAAGTTATTTCATTGTCTGCTGTAATTCTCAGCTAGATCTATGCATTCACAGAGAGAACTAGTCCTATCGCTACAAAGAAAAGGGATACGTGTGTACAACCAGCCTACCTGTTTTTATGATATAATATAAAATACAGGCTGGATTAAAAGACTATACATCAAATTGGAAAGATCATAGAATCAAGGTTGGAAGGGACCTCTAGAGATCATCTAGTCCAACCCCCTGCACACGCAGGGTCACCTAGAGCACGTGGCACAGGACTGCGTCCAAGCGGGTTTGAAGATCTCCAGAGAAGGAGACTCCACAACCTCTCTGGGCAGCCTGTTCCAGGGCTCTGGCACCCTCACTGGGAAGAAATTTTTCCTTAAGTTCCTGTGGAACTTTTG